CGAATATTGAACATACTCTAATGAAAGAAAACAAAGCGAATAAACGTCGTCAAAAACAACACACCGATGTGAAATCTGATAATGAAAAACAAACGATTCTCGTACAATTATTTGATAGTAATGATCAACTCATTGATGAAAATCAAACTAATAAACAAGCCTGGATTAATTGTAAAAAATTATTAATTAATGAACAATCGTATAATGTTGAATACAATGCGCCAGGTTGCCTTTTTTTCTTATTGCGATAATAGAATAGTTAATTTTTTTTGTTTAGCTGTTATTAAATTTCGTTTTCCTGATATTATTATGGCGAATACAACTACACCAGCAATAGTCGAGTTAGACTATGGAGATTGTGAACATTCATTATTTGATTGGTTTATTACAAATGATATAAAAACAGAAGAAAACGATGAAAAAACCGAATGGATACACGTACATCGTGGACCCTTTTGCATATTTGGTGATGAACATATCAATAAATTTGTACGTCTTACATGTTTACCACGAAATAGTTCGTTACGAGAAGGTATGTTAGCTGAATATACATCGAAAAAACGAATTATTCCATGTCCGACTGATTTACCAATGAATAGAAGACATCAATTAACAAAGCAATATTTTCCAAACGATTCAAATTAGTAATTTTTAATATTTCATTTGATTGCATTTTCGTTTTTCTTCTTCAGTATTCGATTAATATCTTATAATATATTAGCAAATGGATACGCATCGTCAACGGGTGCAGGTGAAACCATGTATCCATATTGTTCACAAGAATATCTTCAACATGATTATAGAAAACCACTTCTATTAAAAGAATTATTAGGATATCACGCTGATATTATATCATTACAAGAATGTGATACAACATTTTACGAACGTGAACTTTCGTTAATATTAAAAGCAAATGGCTATTTAGGTGATTTTCAAATAAAAAGCGATCGTGTACGAGAAGGCGAAGCTATTTTCTATAGAACAGATCGATTTATGTAAGAAAATTAATTATCTAGAACTATCTCTATTTTGAAAAATATTTACAGTTCCATCAATAGTCACAGTATAAAAATTGGTGAATATTTACGTGATGCAGAACATTTAGAAAACATTCGTCGTCGTTGTGCATTGGTATCGGAAATCAATACACATTTGCTGGAACGAAATACTGCATTTCAAGTAAGATAATTAAAAGATTTTCTCTTGGAAAAAATAAGAAAATGGAGATATTTCGAAAAGCTTTGTTACATCTATTTGTAATTTATCCGATGAAATCGTAGTTACACTTAGTGTAGATCTCAGTTTAGGATTCTTCATTTGCGAATTTACACTGCCATTTCGATGACGAGCACTATCTTCGGATTTTACTTTATATTATGATTGCTTAGATTTTAGCATTACAACCAAAAGAACAATCAAACGAAATATTTCTAATATGTAATACACATTTATATTTTCACCCAACAGCTGACATTATTCGATGTTTACAAGTAGTTATTGCATTCGAACGCATAAAAGAAATCAAACAACTTTATCAGCAACAAGTAAATGAATATTATTCTTTATTCAAATTTTCTATGATAGTAAATATTTAAATTATGAACGTAGAATAAAAATGTTTCAATCGTATGGAATGGAGATTTCAATGCTAACACAACATCTTTGGCGTTTCATCTTCTTTTTACGGGTGTTTTATTAACGGATATTAATCATCGATCGTACAATGAAGGTACTCACTTTTGCTAATTGAAAATGTTCAATATATAATTCTCATATTTTATTTAAGACTACGCTGAAATAACCAAAGATTTCGATTATAAAACTTCAATAGAATTGAGTACTTATTCGAATTATGAGTTTACAAATTATATGGTGAATTATCATGGTGTTATTGATCATATATTTTATGATGCTAAAAAATTCGAATTTCACCGCTGTATACCAATGCCAACTCGGCAGGAAGTAACGAAGTTCACTGCTTTACCCTCATGTGAAATTCCTAGTGATCATTTGGCTGTTGTTATTGAACTTGAAATTATTAAATGAAGTTCTAATTTTTTTTTATGCTGAAACATAATTGTTTTTTGTTAGACGGTGAATTTTATTGTTGAAAACGTATTTGTGTGATGTTCACTCACAAATTATAAAATTCGTAAGAACGCAGGCTGAATGAAAAATAATGATATGGATGATGTTACTTGTTAAGTCACATATTTTGAAAAATATATTAGCCAAACACTATTTTTATTTATCTAAACTGATTACTGGACTTGAAATCATTTCTTCTGAGTCGATATGAGGATTTCTCATTAATCATATATATTCCTTAAGAGAATAATTAGGAGGCATTAGCTCGGAAGATTAAACAAATCAGGTTGTGCGAAGGATAACTGAAACTGCTGAATCAAATATATTTCATTCGTTCAAATTGCTAATTTCCGTTGGGTGAGTTGGTTATTGGAGTAACGCTGTATTTCAGGAACTATTCTAATCTGTTGGTTTAAATCTAAATTTCTTATATGCATAAAATATTGATTTTTATTGCAACGTAGTTATATTTTTTCAACCAAAACTAATCTAATGCTTTTGACCAAATATAGCCGAAAACGATGAGTAATTTAAGAAATGTTGATTAGCAGAGAAGTTTCTATCTGAACACTCACGCCACCGAATTCGACTATATGTATGAGAAAGCTTTAGTTTTGAACAGAAAAACCTATTTTTATACTGTGACAGTAAAAATGATTCACATTGTCAGCTTTTCGTTTCTATATTAACACCAAATTTTACTTCATTTCCGAAAATCAATCGAACTAATAACAATAATCTAAAGGGAAACTGAAAGTTTTCTATAACATGTTTTTTTATCTTCGTTTAAACCGTTTCTTTTTGAGTGTGTACACGAAGATCAAACCAATTAGAAGGGCGAAAGTTTTGTTCACAATTAACAACAGACCGTCTGTTACAATAAAAATGAAGAAAGACGTTTCATTTAGCTATTGACACACCGGACGATATTCATAGCTTTAATAACAACAAAGCATCATTTATGAAGACAACGGCTGCTCATTCAATATAAATATACCAAACACACAATCCCTTATTTCATTCAATCATGAATTCTTCAACTGCTAATCTTCTTGATTTACCTGATGAGATGCTTATTAAAATTTTTAATAAACTTTCGAATGCGGATGTACTCAACGCAATTTTGGGTGCTAATCGACAACTGGATCGACTAGCACGTGATGCAAACTTCACGCAGTCTCTTGATTTAACAGCTGAAGTATCATATAATGAACGATGCTCCATATCGAACGATGTACTTGATCGATTCTGTTCATACATATTGCCTCAAATTCATGACAAAATCAACTCTCTTCTTGTTGAACCGTCATCAATGCAGCGTATTCTTTGTGCTTGTGCTTTTCCTAGCCTTCGTCAATTAACTTTAAGTTCAATCGAATCTAAAGATTTTATAGAGTATTTATCAGGTATGACTTTCTTGAGAGAAAAATTCAATCTTTATAAATAGTTTTGTACTTAGATAATTCATCTGTCTTACACATCTTTAAACAAAACACACATCTTAATATCTCTACGATTGAATATTACAATGATAAATCACAAATGAATTTGAATACAAATATGTATACACGTCTTTTTTCTGTTTGTCAGCGTTTAACTCATTTGACTATCAAAGGAAAACATCTTAGATACTGTTCGTTGGTACCAGCATATGCTTTACCATTAACCATGTGTTCATCATCGACCATAGTCAAATTAGATGTTAATGTACGTACAATAGACGATTGTTTGCGTCTACTTGATGGACGTTTCAATCAAATGAAAATTTTAAATGTTAAGATTGATTCTATTGATACTCCATTGTTGAACATTGATAGTCAGGTAGTGAAATCTTTTTTTTCGTCTGAAACTGTTATTTAATGGATTTCATCTTTATGTTCTAGTATATTCTACCTAATTTAACAACATTCTTCTTGTCTACATCTAACCCTACAAAACAATATGATAATGTTATAGTACCATTGCTTCGACGAATGACGAATTTAAAAACGCTCGTATTAGTTCTTATGGTTGAAAATCGACCAAACTTTATCGATGGTGCTCATCTTCATCAAGAGGTACTTATCCATATGCCACGATTGAAAACATTTCTTTTTAATATTACAACAATTGACGATGTTGTCGAAATCAACTATTGGCTTAAGGAAGATGATATTGAAGAGACAATGGTTTTCAATGATGGCCTTCCTTATTTTCAATGTCGTATTGATATTTTTAAGAATGGTATTGGCCGATGTCGTTTCTGTTCAATGCCATTCATGAAATCATTTCGATTATATTATTAACTATCTGCAATGCTTGTAACTTAGTTTTTTCTTTGATTAATTAAAATAAATTTCATCCTATTATCGCATCTTATGTTTCTGTTGTCAGCTACATACAACTTTTTATTTTTAGGATACTAAGACAGGTAAATATTACAGTCACATTTCATAATCAGAAGAAGAGCATAATTCGAATCTCTAAGATGTGAGTGTGTTGGGGTATCGAAAAGTGCAGAACAGGGTGTGGGTGTGATTGCGAGAGCTTTCGAAAAAACACACACACACACACCCTCAAGAAATTATCAGCGAAAAATTCTCTAAGAACTCTGTAAGTTTGAATGGATTTGGACGTGGTCACCGGATCAACTGACGATTTCCGGTGGAATGACCCTGAGGTCATTGCTGCAAAGTTTTAAACATAAGCCAATGGAGGAAGAGATCTACAGGTAAAACGTCATTCAGAAATTTCACATTTTGGAGATCTGTAATAAAGCTTTCGATTTGAAATAAACTGGAGGATGATATATAAGCCCACAGTACATACTCGATACAATTTTGATATTATTTGCATCTCATAATGAGGTTGAAAGCAATAAGAAACGTGCATTTCCAGCAATTCAGAATGGCTTAGACCGACTAGTGATAGCTACTGCTGATTTAAACTGTTAGAAAACGGAATCCATATCAACGCGGCGTGTCACGTCGGAAGACTGTGAAAAGTAGACAACGTTGCTTTTCTTCTTCTTTTGTTGTCAGTCGCTTTTTTTCTTGCTTTATCTCGCTCTCGTTGCATCTAGTGGTTTCATCGTTCTGATTCTTCTCTCTCTCTTTCTCTCTCTCGCTTGTGCGTGCGACACTGACTCTTGTGTGTTGACATAAATATGCTCTTCTCTGACTATTCCTTGTATTCATTTCTTCATTCATACTGTTCGATCATATCAACTTATCTTCGCCCTGCACTCCTCCGCAACAACACACATAATGGTAGAGACAACCGTCCAGCTCAACGATGACCTTGAACTTAGGAAAGGATTTGAAACGTGCCTACCTCAAGGCTTGCCTGACTCCGTTACTGCACTAGACTGGGCAAATTTCATCTCTGGCGCTAACGCCATACTCAGTCAATACGATCCCCACCAACTCTTCAGTGGTACTTTTCTCGCCGGTCTCGCTGGATTTCTTTCTCCTATCTCTCATGAAATAACACGTCAAAAATTGCACGACACTGGCATGAATCTTCTTGGGTATGTCGAGGCATGGAATGCTGGATATTTCTGGCCTAAGAACATGCGAGTGTACTTTCATGAGGATAAGGTGTCGGTGAGTGAGATCAACACGGAACACACGGGGAAAATGATATGGAGGCAAATATGTCGATTGGGTACTGGTGACTATAAGCGGTTCCTGGTCGTTCATTTTATGGGACCACCAGCATATCAAAGTTGACTGTCTGCTACAGAAACAAATATCCGATTGGCGGAGTTTTCATCCGCATATTGTTCGACATAAATTTTACTTGTCAAAGTCAATTTATAATAAATATTGTCATGAATCTGTAACAATGCAGATTTTTTAGGTAAAAGGCTGCGAAAACGAACATCATATTAGTGTGATTGGAAAAGGTCAACTCATGATCTTTTTGATCCTTTTATTTCATTTCTCTTTTGCTTTCAAAGAAGTCTAAATAAATCCCGAAAGTCTGTCTTTCTGTTTTCCTCGTAGTCATGTACCTAAAACCGGAGCTTTTAGGCATCAGGTGTGTTAAGAATGCTACATAGTGAGATTCGATTTATTTTCTTTTTGTTAAAATTATATTCTATTTCAATAATGGCAGTTGGTGTAACTTTCTTTTGTTCGCTTCCACGGAGAAATGATGCGAAACTCAGGGTAGAGATGTAACAACACCAATGGCAATACCATTTGGTAATGGTATTGCTAGTTTATCAAAAAAAAATCCGTCAAGTTCATTGGCATGCCAATGATTATAAAATCAGTCTAAATTTATTGGCTCTAGCAAGATTTCCGTAGCCGAAAGAATAACGTTTATTAAAAAAGAGTCGAAAATAATTAATACATACTCTGAAAAGAGTCGACTTTGAGTTTATGCTATACTGTTACATACAATTTAAATTGATATCAAGAATACCCATGTAACCGATAATGGATAAATAATGGAAAATGGCCCATTATAATTCAATGCATGATTTAGAGTAATGCTTTTAAATTAGAGAATTCATCATTTTCATGAAAGAGCTACTCAAAAAGGTGACTCAATCACGAGAACGTACAATAAAGAGCCGAAATCTGATATCGATCTTTTATTCGATGCAACAATAGACTACTAGAATTTTGAATCCTTTTAGAATTTTCTGTAGAATGAAAGCGATCACAGTCCTCAAACCTCTCAAAAGAATGTTTCAGTATGCGAACGATGCATGACGAAGAACATTCTACTGTATTTTAATTTCTAGCATAAAACTTGCTTATTCATGCATGTGTTTTTAACATGTTCTAATTATTTACCATTTTTTCGATTCCTAAAATTTTGCGATATTCAAGAAAAATTACTTGCTTATGTATTTATAATGTTCGTTGCCCTCGACATTAATTAAGAAGAAAGAAAAAATCAAAGTATTGTCTATCTTGTCTGATACATTGATCAAGATTTTAACATCCGTTTGAAAATTCTCCTCATAATTTAGCATTATCGATGAAATAAACCTGTAATTTATCTTAATCTGCAATCCTTATTATGTACATGAATTGTTTATATCATTTTGACTACAATCCATAAATTTCTTTTTCAGCAGTTTTTTCATAAAAATAAATATAAAGCGAGAATAAACATGCATGCACGACGATTAATTAGAGATTTAATTCAATTTATTACAAATGCGTTTAGTTTGGCGTTGACTACTTTCGAAAGAACTATCAACACATCCAATGCGTCCATCATAATTTGTATGCTCACCTGCCCAATATACTCGATCATCGTAACATTCTGTCGCTAATGCTCTTAAAGTTTCATTTGTAGCACCAACGTTAAAACTTGAATATGCTCCATATGTAAATTGATCAGATCCCCATCGAGTGATTAACCAGTTTTTTGGTTTGGGCATCTGCGGATAAATGGGTTTTAAACATTGAACAATTTGTTCAATGATTTCTTCATCTGTTTGTTGTTCTAATTTACGCGCAAAATTACCACAAACAAGTGACGTAAGCATGTGATCGTGTGGATTACAAAGAAAAAATCGAAAATCATTCGAAGCAACAAAAATGTTATCTAAGCTTTCGTCCCAAAACGTTGATGGAAATTGCATAAATATCTTATTGCATAATCCAAAACCCATTTGATCAATAGCATGTTGTTTCCAATCGGGTAGTGATGGAGTAAATTTAATTGTATCTGCTTTTAAACAACCCAGTGGAATTGTAATCAGAACATATTTCGTTCGATAATGACGATTATCTTTTGTAGTTATACGAATAGGTTCGTTCTTGTCATTTGGAGTATCGATATTTGTCACAATGCTATTTAATTGAATAGGTAGAGGATTTCTTTCAACAACCTGTTGAAGAAAAGAACCATATCCAGTATGAAGAGCAAGATCATTTATATCAGCTTCAAGTTCTTTGGCAGAAAATGATTTCGCTGATATTTCATTAAGATTCGATGCTTCGAATTGCTCAATAAAACCAAGATACATATCAACAAAGCGACGAATTTGTTGATCTTGAATTTGTTCATGTTTATCACGAATACCATCATAAATAGAAACATCGTGTTTATCTGTTGAACCTTGTCCAAAATTTTCACGTAAGTCTTCTGCTATTTTTATTCCTTCCATAATGAAACTTTCAGATAATCGTGTTCCATCAATGTCAAAAAAAGCGCTATTTGTACCATACGGAAAATGATCATGAATTTGATCTTCATCGGATGGTGTATAATATACAGAAAGAGGATTTTCTGGACGATAATGATGAAGCCAACGTGCACCTAAATCACAGGTTCGCTACTATTAAAAGTATGTATATCAGTAAAAGTTCGGCCACCAGTACGATTGCGAGCTTCGAGAATTAGAAACTTCGGAATCGATGGATACTTATGACGTTCTAATCCAGCTGCTATCCCAGCTGGACCACAGCCGATGATCATAATATCGTATAAATTAAACAATCGGACGTACTCATTTGTGCGTTATTTCTTTTCTGACAGAACATTTTAATAAATGTGGTTTGTCTCGGGAACCTTCGTACAATTGAAGCAAGAAACATAATTGATCGAGGGAGTAAATAAGTATTAGTAAATCATGAAAGTTTATTTTTTCTTTAGATATTATACATTAAAATTCATAGAAAATAAGTTGTTTTCAGGATAGACAATTCAAATGTGAATTTCATTCGATCTATGCAATTGTCGCTAGTATCAACATCGAACATTTACACATAGAATCATCACTATCATAAAAATACGAACAAGGCCACCAAATAGTTATCTGATAATAAACAAGAATAGGAAACGATGATAAATTTTCATACAATATATATATTTGATAATGAATGTCAAGGCCATAAAAGTCGATTAGCTTCAATCATTCATATAGATATCAAGGTTAGAGAAAGTCTAGTAGATTACTACGAAATAAACGGATCTGGTCCAAATATGAACATTTCCTTTGTTTCTATTTATCATTACTAAATTCAAATGAGTAATTAAAATTATTTACGATTCTCCCTAAAGTAATAGCTACGCATCTTGAAGGTAATGCGTCTTTTCGGGTCTCATATTTTTGCACATGCTTGTCACGATGATTCCGATTAATAATATAAGCAGATGAAAGTATGAAAAAACGATCTATTATTTACTGACAAAAAAAAGAAGCCAGCATCTATCATCAGCTATTGAAATGAAGTACGAAAGATCGAGTTAAAGAATTGATTTCCACCATGATTAACGCAGAACTTGATTTTCGCAGGAAAATATACGTTTTAGTCTCAATATTGCTAATTTATCAAAGTAAAGAATAATTCAACAACAATATTGAAACTGTCATTTCATGATAATTTTTTTATGAAGAGAAAATATCTTAAAATTTTTTCATAACAAACATCTACTATTCATCGAAGTTGCATTGTATCACTGTTCTAGAGGACGTTCAACAGTATTTTTTAAATGTAATTGTTTAAGTGACATCTGAAAATTCATGCCTCTAACTTACTAATAGATGGGCTGTTCCATGGGTACTCAACCAAAAAAACACAACGTATTCAAATTTTTTTCGTTTGCATCTAGGTTTGTAGAGCTCGTTTCGCTGATCATTTTAGTATAAAGAAAAATTAAAATTCATAGATTAAAAAAGTTTTATAGCGAAAATACTAAAACTGTTTTTTCGATATTTTAACTCGACCGCAGTTATTTTTAGACTTTTTTTAAATAAAAAGTATACCAAAGTGCTCAGCTCAATTAGCTCTACAAGATAGGATAGTTTAAAATTACTCAAAGTCATTTTTCAATCATTTGCTTAAGTAAATGCACTGAAAAAGTAGGTGCCTTTATCTAAAAATGGCTACATTCTGCTAGAATCTGAAATACAGGGTTTTGTAGAGCACAACGCGCTCTACAAAACCCTGTATTCCGTTTTTCATTTAGAATCAGAACTATATAGAAATGTGTTCACTTGTCGCAAAAAAAAACAATTTTTATTCGTTTTCCCGATTGTTTCAAAGATGAAATACGAAAGTGTTTATGGAATTTGACGTTTTTCGACATAAAATGGTGGCATCATTTTGCGAATCAAATTAATGAAACATTTGAATGCCTTTAATAATACGTCCTAATCGACAAAAGTATATGGTAGAGCTTATTGTAATAAAATAAATTTTTTACCTTTATTTTTATTTCAACGCTCGGTAAGCAAATCTTCTGTAACTCTCTCGACATCATCATGCTTTAGATAACAAACATTGATTGGTGGTTCATTCTTTTGGCTTAACTTTGCTGCATCCTCGTTAGATTTCTTAGTAAAATTTAAAAAATCTTCTACAGACGAAATCACTGTATCAGCGAGGAGTACAGATCGGTTAACATTTGATTTAACAGCCGCGACGAGGCCATCGCATGGACCTTTACCATGCCCGCTAGCTGAGAATGTCCAAGATGCCATCATATTGAAATCGTACTGGTGATACTGAAAGTTAATTATATTAAAATGATTTTTAAAATAGGCGGACGCACCGTCACTAGAAAGAGATAAAAAATGTGGTTGAAACTTTGAAATGTTAAGTAACTACCTTAAATAATTGACTTTTTTTACTTGAGGATAATGCTACCTCAGAAAATCGATAATTAGCCGTTGTGCGCAGTGAACAAATGCTGTATCGTGTCGCATGTAATCACTAATAATCACCATATTCTTTTGCTCGCTTCCAATTTTAATATGAATGATGAAAAGCGTAGCTTGTTGGTTATTCCAATGTGCTGCCTGTACTTCTCGTTGTCTTAAGAATGAATAATTTTCGGCGAAATCTATTTATACGACGGCATATGATAAATGACTTGATTTTATTCTAAGGTCATTGATAAAATATCGTTGTTCACGATTGAAATAACTATGTAATAAAAATTCGAACCAACTCTCACCAATTTCATAAAGTAATGATGTAATTGTTCCACGTATTTGATGTAAATCAACCTTTTTATCTATCGATTTCCACATGGACCACGAACATTTATCATCTTCATCACTAGTATCCAATTGACACCCAAGAATTGATGAAGGAGTTATGCTGTTGCATTGTGCACAGTCACCAAAGAAACAATCTTCGACAGGCGTAGTACAAACTACCAAGTCAATAAAATTGGATACAGTAATTTTGGTAAATTGTCCGTTCGCAAGTGGCTTCGTTTTAAGGTAATTGTTAAACGCCTGAAACATTATAAAGAATTACTTTTACCAGCAATCTCAAATATTTTTTTATATTCAGGAATATTATAATGTCTTTCAGTTCTTCCAATCGTAACAATGTTTCGAACATTGATTGTTCCAGTTGATTAAAATCACTATTTTTTGTTTGAATGAACTTCGATAATATTGAAAGCGCTTCAAGGATTGGTTCTAAACTATGCAATAGGAATATTGTTGATTGATCTTGTAAAATTAAAAGTAGAACCGATGCAGATGGACTTTCTTCACCTCTTTCACTAGCTATATGTTCCAGTAGTTATCATTAATGGTTCATAGCAACGAATGGCAGCATTAATAGAACGAGAATATGATAGCCATCGTGTATCACCAGGTTGAATCAATTTTAACTGTGGATGTTTCATTAATGTTTGAACATCATTAAAACGTGCTAATCCAATGGACGATCGATTAATAAAATTGAATAATGATTTCAATGTTAATAAACTTTCTTGTACTTCAATTATATCTTTACATGCTGACAATAAACACAGCTGTAATACAAGAGCACGACAATGAATAAATAATATGGAATTTGAATGCATCTGACGAAATTTTGCTGATACACCACTAAATTCTCCACTAAACAACGACGCGTCATCAAAACCAGTAAAACTAATTTTTGTCATATCAATATTTTTAGATTCTAGTTCTTTAACAATTGTATCAAATATAGTTTGTGCATCTTTATCTTTTACTTTTACTTTTAATAAACTAATGAACGATTCTGTTGGCTCACCTAGAAAGTAATAGTTTGTAAAACCTATGAACAAACACAAGAGCAGGAATATACTGACCTGTATCTTAATTACAATAACTTATACAGATTGATACATTTTGGTAATGATTTATATATGTGCCTTCATCAGCCATAATTGATATAGTTCTTGATTCACGTATTTTCGATAATATTTGTTTATCGATTAGTTCACTTGTTGATTCTAATAATTCTGTTACTGTTGCTATGCTATCATACGTAGCATTCTTTTGACATTTATCAAAAAATATTGATAATTTTTTACCACGATCAATTTTTGATAATATTTCCAGTAATGGTGCATATAATGTTGTATGTGGAAGTTCATTTTTAAATAAAAAATATGCGCCATCTAATGAATCACCAAATCTCTGACGATTTTCTTGACGTTCCAATTCACTAACATTAAATAACTGTTGTGCTACTGACCCTTCTGTCTGCTGAAATGATAAATTTTACTCAGCTGTTCTATGATAAGTAGATTCTTGGTGTTTCTGCAAAGTTCCACATACGCCAGGTGCATTTTTCCAATTGGTGAACGACTGTGTAGTAAAGACACCTCTAGTTCTTGTATTCATCTCAGAATAGAATGGTACTGCTGATTTCCAGTAATCCCGACATATGCAACAAAATCCACCTTTATTCGGTTCATGAACAAGCCATTTATAGCTTTTTGAATACCACTTTTGATATGTACGCTTTTTATTGTCATTTGCTGTTATTATTGTCGTTGTGGATAATGAACAATTTTCTTCCATGTTCGCTTGAATATTACATGATGGCTCCGCATTTGAAAGTACATGTATATAGGGTGTATTGTCATTTCCAATATTATTTGTATTATCATTTATTTTCTTTTTCTTTTGCAGAATTATTGTCAGACTCTTCTGGATTTTCTTTTCTTTTAAAATATGAAATGAGAGATTTTTGTCCTGATAACATTTATTTAAAGATGAGTCGTAAC